AAGAAGAAGAAGAAGAAGAAGATGATGAAGAGAATATCTCTTCTTCCTTATCCCCTCTAACATATATATCCTTATCATATCTATTTTTAATTCATTTATTAGTCAAATGACCATTTTGCCCTCTACTTCATTTGATAATTACTAACAACTTTTAGGATTTATTTCCAGATAAATCATTGAACTAATCCATTCTTCTACTTTAATCACCAAATTTCTGAAACTTTACCATTTAGTCACTAACCCATAGTTTGGGATGTTACAATACATGTCAAAGGTTCCGTATGCAAGTGCTGTTGGTAGCTTAATGTATGCAATGGTGTGTATGAGACCCGATATTTCACAGGCAGTTGGGGGTTGTGAGCATGTATATGCATGATCCTGGAAAGGAGCATTGGGAAGTTATGAAATGGATTTTGCGGTATATTCTGAACACCGTAGATGTTGGTTTGGTCTTTCAGCAGGACAAACAAGATGGTCAGTGTGTAGTTGGGTATTGTGATTCAGATTATGCAGGTGATTTGGACAAGCGTCGATCAACTACTGGTTATGTGTTTACATTTGCAAAAGCACCAGTCAGTTGGAAGTCCACCTTACAGTCAACAGTGGCTTTGTCTACTACAGAGCCAGAGTATATGGCAGTTACAGAGGCTGTGAATGAGGCAATTTGGCTTCAAGGGTTGTTTGGTGAATTGGGAATGGAACAAAAGCACATCAAAGTGCACTGTGACAGTCAGAGTTCTATTCATTTAGCAAAGAACCAAGTTTACCATGCAAGGACGAAGCATATCAATGTTCGATATCACTTTGTACGAGAGATTCTAGAAAAAGGCGGAGTCATAATCCAGAAGATTCGATCCTGCTGATATGTTGACAAAAGTGGTAACTGCGGTCAAGTTTAAACATTGTTTAGACTTGGTTAATATTGTTACAAATTGAAAGATGAATTTGCAGACACTACTGAAGATTGGATTTTTTTAGAGACGTGTGTGGAATTTGCCAAGGTGGAGATTTGTTGGTTTTTGGCAAATATCCCACATTGGTTTTGTATAAGGAGGATGGGAAATTCTTTTGTTATAAATAGAGCCCTCCTCCTCCTTAGTTTATCATTATACAAATATAAGCCTTCTTCACTATTAAAGGCTATTTGTACTCTTTCTCTCTTTGTAATATTTCCTCTATTAGTGAAATATTATTTTAGTAGTGTTCGAGGAGGTAGACATAATTTTGGCCTAACATCGTTAAATCTTGGTGTTCTCTTTATGTCTATTTAATAGCTATTGTCGGATATAGTTGTTTTTAATTATTATCCTATTGAAATTACTTGTCTTGGTAGTTATGTCTAAGGAAAGTGGGTTTTAAGAGGGACCATTGTGACCCCTCCTCTTTCCTGAGAATCTACCTTGGGGTGATTTTTAGTACAATCGTTTTCACACTAGTCACCTAGATAATAGTTTTCAAGGTGAATTTGTTATTATTGGTGGAAATTAACCCGAATTCCACAACACAACGATTTATAAAATAAAAGTTATAACTAAATATCATAGTATTAAACTGCAATTATAGCCAATTCTAACATAATATAAGGACACATCATAATACTTTTATAAATTTATTATAAATTATATTTATAATTAAAAATAATAAATTATTTTTAAAAAATACTTCACATTATAATATCCATAGTATTTATTATCGTAATATCACAATTATAATCTAACTATTATATTAAATATTATTAAAATATTTGATTATTTTTATAATAAAAGTAACATATATTATAGGATAAATTACGTATTTAGTAGTTAAATTATCAGTTTTAATTAGTTTTAGTACTTACACTTTCGGTTTTTTTAAAATTATACTTGGCAATTAATTTTTGTTTCGTTTTAATACATCGCTGTTAAAAACTTAAAGAATGATTTGCACAAGACACTTTTTCATGGGTAATTTGCACCATTCATCACTCAACTACCTTCTCACTCTTATTTTGGTCACTAAAGTTTAATTTTTTAGTTTAATTTTTTAGTTTAATTACTTAACTTTCAAATTACTCCTAAGTTAATTACTCTAACTATTAAAAAAGTATTCAATTTTTTTCATCTAAGTATCTAAAATATTCTTTAAAAAATATTACGTTTTAACTTTTTAAGAACTTAGATAGAAAATATTGAATAATTTAAACACATTTTTTAACTAAAAAATACTTTAAGTATCCATTTTGACAAAAAATATAACATTAAGTATTTACTTTGATAAAACAATACTTTAGATATATAAAAATATTTAATTTGATAAAGAAATACTTTAGATACATAAAAAAATAATATAGTTTAAATACTTATTTACTGTATAAGCCGAAAAGTAATTTCAGCATGGATATTTGTTTGAGTAAACCACACAAATGGTCACAAAAGTTTGAGTTAGTTTTTGTTTTCCCTACTGAAAGTTTAAAAGTAATAAATTGGTCACTAATGTTATCCATTTATAATAAATGGATTACTCGTTGTTAACCGCGGATACTGAGATAACATAACAGTGATGTGGCATGTTAAATCGGTGACTCGGCACATTTTAACACACATTTGACTTTTCAATACGTTTGACCGACATTCTCCCCCCCCCCCTTTACGTTATTAAAACAATGCAACCAGGAGTGTTGCAGAACTCACCGGTGCAACAGCTGATGATTGATGACCCTTTGCTTCACTCTCTCATCTTTTATATCACTGATTCCCTCTCTCTTTCGCTCTAGAACTTCTTTGACATCCTTCAGCTTTGTCCATAGTTTCTTTCACAGCAGTCGCATAGGCCAAGCCACAACAACTGAGCTCTCGTCTATCTCAATATCAAAGAAAGGAGGTGAACAATGATTGATTCAAAGATATAGAATAAACGCAATAAATTTTATAAAGAATTTCAAACTTTTAAAGGTTAGTTGAGGTTTCTCATGGAGAAGTCAGCTTGTCTGCTTGTTTCCTATACTACTACGGCTTCCATGGAGTTTCTTCATATTGGGTGGCGACTCTCAATTGTTAAACTCACAAGACCAGTAATAAATCTAACTTTCTCGGATGCTTTTTCAATAGATCATTTTGTTACAAATTTGTCGAGGTTACAACGCTTGAAAGTTCTTACTCTTGTCTCTCTGGGGATTTGGTGTCCTCTCCTTATAAAATCCATAGATTATCTTCACTTGAATCTTTAGATTTTAGTAAAAATTTCCTCTTTTGCTCAATCTCTCCTAAAGTTTCGATAATGGGGAAGCTTCAGAGTCTCGTGTTTGATCATAATTTCTTCAATAGCACACAGTCTCTAACGTGTTTGATTCTTTGTCCAACTTAACGAATATGATCCTGAAGAACAGATTAAAGGGTCGTCCTTTTCCATCTTCAATCGCGGGGATCACAAATCTCATTAGTCTTCATTTTTCCAACAATGAAATGTCAGGAAAACTACCAGATCTCATCGGATTAACATGACTGGAAGTGCTCGATTTTAGTGCGAACAAATTTGATTCTCTTTTGAAGAAGGGGAGAGAAGAAGAGCGTAACATCGGCCAAACGTCTTGAGGAATCAAATATGTGATAAAATGTGACAGGTAATTGATTTAATGTGCCACATCAGCAATCCATTATCTCGGCTAGTGACTGATTTGTTATAAATCAATAACATTAGAGATTAATTTGTTATTTTTGAAATTATAGTGGAAAAAACAAAAATTTACTCAAACTTTAGTGACTATTTATGTAATTTATTCTATTTTTCTAAATAGGGTCGATTGAATTCTTCTTTAACTAAATAAGAAATTAAAAATAAATATAATTTATTATTTTTGATATAATTATTAATAATTGATCATTAATTATTAATAACAATTTAAAAATTAAATATAGATAAGATATATCTTTTTAATATATCATCTTTTATGTGATTATTGATATCTGACACATTAATTTATTAATTTAAACTAAATATTTTTAAAATTTAATATAAAAGTGATTTTTTAAATTTAATTTATTATATTCATATTATTAAATTAAATTATAATTTTATTTACTAAATTAAAGTATAATTTATCTTTAAAATCATTATTTATTGAGTATAAAATAAAATAATTACTTTATTGAAAACATTAGAATATTATTATTTTACCATAATTCCATAGTCCTTTGCCACCTCATCCACAGGCACCATAACATTAACCCATCCCACGAGAGCTTCGTTCTCTTGTTTTGGGGTATATTATCTTTCTAGTCCCTAAATTATAGTTTATTTTATCATATTTATTAAAATTTATGATATAATTAAAATAAATTCAAGGAGTATTGCATATATAATCTATAAATGATTAGATTTCTTATATTAATTTTTCATTTAATTTATATAAAAAGTTTATTTTAATTTTAAATTTCTTGACCCTCAAGTAATAAATATCTATTAGCATCTTAATCAGGATTATAGATTTAAAACTTACGAGCCGAAAAAGCCTGAATATTTCCCTCTCTCTCACACACATTAAACCCCTCGAAAACTCTTCAGTGAGAGAAAAAAATAGAAACTTTATTGTTTGATTCATATTATTCAGTGTCACTTTTTAAAAGGTATGATTTTTTTCCTGGGTTTGTTTTCTTGTTCGGTTAAATGTTGAGAAATTTTCTGTTTCATCTACGTTTATTCTGATCGTTAATATTCGAGGGTTACATTGCTTTTGTCTATCTGTGTGCAATTTTCTCTGCTTTTGGTTGATGAAGTTAGGGCTTGTTTGCCAGCTGAGAAAATTCTCAAAGAGAAGCAGAAGGTTAACAGGACTGTTCAAGTTCTACGATTTTAGCCATTATGTTTTGATTGCATGTTTATATTCCTTGACATCGTAAATTTGCAATGGATTTTTTTTTACTTAGCTAAATTTCACCGTTTCCTCTAAAATTCTCTGATTTTCAGTATCTCTTAAGGAATTTTGTTTTTATTTTGTTGTAGGGTTTTGAAGTTTGAGTTACTTGATGGATAAGCTAACTGATTCAAAGATTATGGAGTTAAGCAAAAGCAGCTTGCGAAGAACTATGGATGAGATTCATGATCGCGCTTCTTCCATTATGTTGCTTAATCTTCAATGGAAAGATATGGAAAGAGTTTTGGATGACGCTCAGCGTTCAGTTGAAGAACAACGGGAAGAGCTTAAACTGAAAGAGGAGGAGTTGGGTCTAAAAGAGAAGGGTTTTGAGAAGCGTTGTAGGGATTTCGAGTTAGAGCAGAAGGATCTTGAACGGAGTCGTGATGATCTTGAAATTAGTGAAAAACGATGCAAGGAGCGATCTAAAGAGGTGTCGTCGATGGAGAAATCGGTAAAAGATAAGTTGGAGGAAGTTGGATTGAAAGAGAAAGAATTGAACATATGCTTGAGAGAGTATGAGTTGAAAGAAGAGCAATTCGGGTCGAAAGAGAAGAGTTTCGAAAAGCGGTTTATGGAGTTTGAGTTGGAAGAAAAGGCTTTGAAAGAGCGTATTCAAGATCTAGAGTTTAGTGTGAAACAACGTGAGGATGAGGTTAAGTCGATGGAGAAATTGGTAAAAGATAAGTTGGATGAAGTTGGATTGAAGGAGAAAGATTTGGAGAGATGCTTGAGAGAGTATGAATCGAAAGAAGAGCAATTCGGGTCAAAAGAGAAGAGTTTCAAGAAGCAATTTATGGAGTTTGAGTTGGAAGAAAAGGCTTCGAAAGAGCGTCTTCGAGATCTTGAGTTTAGTGTGAAACAACGTGAGGATGAGGTTAAGTCGGTTGAGAAATTGGCAGAAGATAAGTTGGAGGAAGTTGGATTGAAGGAAAAATGCTTGCTGGAGTACGAGTTGAAAGAAGAGCAATTCAGACTGAGAGAGAAGAGTTTCGACAAGCGATTTACGGAGTATGAGTTGGAAGAAAAAGCTTCCAAAGAGCGTCTTCAAGGTCTTGAATTTAGTCTGATACAATGTGAGGATAAGGTTAAGTGGGTTGAGAAATTGCTAAAAGATAAGTTGGAGGAAGTTGGATTGAAGGAGAAAGACTTGGAGAAATGCTTGAGAGAGTGTGAGTTGAAAGAAGAGCAATTCGAGCTCAAAGAGAAGATTTTCGAGAAGCGATTTATGGAGTTTGAGTTGGAAGAAAAAACTTCCAAGGAGCGTCTTCGAGATCTTGAATTTAGCGTGACACAATGGCAGAATGAGGTTAAGTCAATGGAGGAATTGGTGAAAGATAAGTTGGAGGAAGTTGGATTGAAGGAGAAAGACTTGGAGAAAAGCTTGAGAGAGTATGAGTTGAAAGAAGAGCAATTCGGGCTGAAAGAGAAGAGTTTCGAGAAGCGATTTATGGAGTTTGAGTTGAAAGAAAAGGCTTCGAAAGAGCGTCTTCGAGATCTTGAATTTAGTTTGAAACAACGTGAGGATGAGGTTAAGTCGAAGGAGAAAGATCTGGAGAAATGCTTGCGGGAGTATGAGTTGAAAGAAGAGAAATTTGGGATGAAAGATATGAGTTTCGAGAAAAGTTTCAAGGAGTTTGAGTTTAAAGAAAAGGCTGTTAAAGAACAACGCAGAGATCTTGAAATTAATGTAAAACAATATGAGCATGAACGAAAGAGTCTTGAAGCGAAAGAGAGATTGGTGCAAAAGCAGTTGGAAGAGATTAAAAGGAAAGAGGAGGAACTCGTGCAACGTCGTAAAGATATTGAGTTAAAAGAAAGAAGTCTCGAGCCATGTTTTCGGGCAGTCAAATTAACGCAAAGCACTATAATGAATGTTTGAGAAAAGTCGAATTAAGAGAGAAGAAAATCGAAGAATTATCTCCAGAACAAAGGGGAAACTATGAGCAACAGTCCATTGATCTTGAGTTTGATGTTGAAAGATCTCGAGTCAAAGGAGAAGGAACCTGTGGAATGGTCTAAAGAACTTGAAAAAAAGAGGGGTGTGAAAGCTCAAGCAGCGGACATTTTGTCTGTTGATCATTCTTCACGAGCACATCTTCGGTTTTGTGAAAACTCGGATGGAAAGAATTTGCAGATGTTCCTAAATGAGCACTGGAAAGACCACGGTTCAATCGTTACTGAAGTTGTTATGTCCCTTCAACGTTCAGCTGACCCTGCAAAGCTTGTATTGGAAGCAATGGAGGGGTTTTACCCTCTGCATTTGTGTAAGGGAGACAGAGAGTTCGAAGGAAAAGTTGCCAGAAGAAGTTGTATTCTCTTGTTAGAGCATTTGATGGAACTTTCACCCAAGATTGAGCCTCATATTAGAGAAAAAGCTATGATCCTTTCCTTTGATTGGGAAACAAAAATGAAAGTTGAATCCGGCCATGAATTGGAGGTTTTGGGATTCTTGTGGCTTTTAGCCTCTTTCCGATTGGCCCACACTTTCGATGCCAATAAGCTTCTCGATGCTTTGGTGTTCGTCGCTCGACATATTCACAATACTGAAATATTTAAGGCTCTTGGTTTGGAAGATAAGATTCATTGCAAGTCTATAAAAACCATGATCCTGGAATGAACCTTAGTTGTAGTTTATTGTTCTTTTGAACCAGGAGATCCAATATGAGTTTTAACTTCTGTTACTTGTTTCTCAGGTTTCTTAAAAAACTTGCTCGAAGCGAGCAGCATATGCAGATAATTAGATATATATATGCTTTGGGACTTGCAGAAGAGGAGTCGCATAAGCATCCACGAGAATTCATAGCCGCAGAAAGGGCTCCGAAGCGTCTAAAAGGATCAAAACAAGGTAAGCATTTCTTTGCAATGATAGCTGGACTCTCCCTGCATTTTTGTTATGTGCTAAAAGTGGTTATGACATTCTATGCCTGTTGTTCATAGTGATAATCATTAGCAAACATAGCGATTTGCACGATACGAAAGAACATTTCCTAGACATTCATATCCCCATCGGAACAACCGCCGAATGAAAATAAGTGTCCTCGGACAGCTTTATCTATTGAAATGCCGTTACTGATATTTCTTTTGGGAAATTGTTGCAGGAGCTGATGATGATGATGAAGTCGGTAGTTAGCCCGGAGAATGTGGCCAGCTCTGACCATTGCTTTTTTAGTGGCTTTGATCGACCTGAAGCTCATTTTGTATTGATAGTAAACTAACTGAAACAAACTATTTTGAATGGTGTTGCTTTTCAGCATATGTAGATTTTTGTACTTATTTGGACTAAAAAGGATAGTAGCAGGTGCCATTATCGGCTCCGGTGAAGCACAGTTAACACATATCATGTACGGACCTGAGTACCGGCACAAGTTGAATATTATGTTTATTACGAGTATACACACATATACACGTATATACATACGAGTAAAGAGTTTACATATACATTAATACATATTTACGAATAATGCAAACAGTACTTAGACCCAAAGCTTGGACATCCGCACCCCAATGGCAAACGATATACAAACCGAAAGAACAATCCCCTTATTTCGCTCAACACCATTAATTATGATCGATAACAAACCGTCTTTACCTTCCGGTTTCTTTGAACTCGGAACACGACATGTTTGGTCACTGCTGCTCTTAATACCTTCTTCGTGTTCATTTTTCGTTTCGTTTTCTCTATTATCTACTTCGTCTTAGTGGTCTTACTCTTTTTCATATGAACTTTGATCTGCTGTTCCTAGCAATTTTCTTTGGAACGGTGATGCATAGGTGTTGACCGACGAAATTGCCAAGGATGTTTTCGGTGTCTGAATTCTCCGGCAACCGGAAGGTTTGGTCGATGTATATGCACCTGTTTTTTGTCCGGTATCCTTTCTCCTTCAACCTTTATATATCCAGCTGACTTGCTCTATTCTCACCCCCATCATGTTTGAACCCTGAATCATTTAGACCAACCTAAAAAAGAAATACGGTTAACCACTTAACCGACCGATCCGGTTAACGTTAAATCAATTCGGTTAAATCAATTTTCTAAAAGAAAAAGTGATGAACCAATGAAAATAGATTGGTTGGTTTAATACCAGGAAGGTCTATGTCAAGCAAATAATTGCCCTCGGAATCCTCAGTCCAGTACGATGTGAGAACGAACTTCTCGGCGATATGGCTCAGCCACCGTTGGCTCCGTCTATCTCCAACGTTCGACATAGTCAACTTGATACCTTTTTTACTGTTGCTAACCGGAAAATAAAACAACAGTCTATATAAACACAAAACCTAATGGGATCATCGTTTTTATAGGATTGAAAACGTGACTTTCGTTTTTTAAATATTTTGGGTTTGTTTATGTTCATAAAGCTTTTTCCTTTCTTGTGAACCTGTGTTTCATTATATTCTTAACCTAAAATCCCTTTCTTGAAATGTTCTGCTTTGTGGGGATGGAATTGCTTGTTTCATTGTAAGAAAGATAAAGCACAATGTTCTTTACGTTAAAAAGTATCTTCTTTTAAGTTAACATGAGACGGAATCAGAAACTTTAAATTATTAGAATATCAGAACAATTGTAGATCTCCATAAACCCGATTGACGGCCGAACAAGTTCGGTCTAAATTTGATTAGGCTCGATATATCCAAAAAGAAAAAACCTTCCTCAAAATGACAGACAAAGCTCTGCAGTACTATTTTCCGATCACAAGACTCGAATCGATAACTTATTTAAGGAGCATCAAACAACTCCTCATATACGATACAATAGGAGTAAATATTAGTGTCTTTAAACTCATGCTTAGTCTGCCTTGCCTTGCAAGGAATTGAAATGAAATGAAAATTTTCGAAAGGTACTTCTAATTGAGATCATATCACGTTGTATTTTATGACGACACATAGCCGATCACCTAATCATGGAACCGAATCAATTACCTGCGTATGCATGCCTATGTGCTTCTCTAGAGTTCTTGTTGATATTAAACATTTTACAGATGATTAAATAAAAGTATAATAGGCTCCAAAACATAGAAGCTAACGAAGCAAATCATAAGCTCTCAAAGATTTAACTATGAGCAGACAAAAAGATTAAAGATAACTTCGATTCAATCCAAAACGAACACAAGTCTAGTTAACGCAAATATATTAGACTCGGGCAACACAAATGATGGGAAAAGAGTGTGTCGATGCAACGTTACCGTAATTCCTAGCTCTGCATATCTCCTTCTCTCAACTTCTCGATTACGTTTGTCATTGAACAGCAAAATCTTGCTTCAAAGGCTAGGGAACTAACCACTCCCTCGATAGATTTGAGTTCTTCGCGTAACTCGGGATGTAACATCAACGAAGAGAAGTTCTCATCCACGAGAAACCCAAGACAGTTCGTGACATCTTCAAGCTTGGGCACCCAATCACAGATCTTCAAGCCCAAAGCAGAGGAAGCCTTGGGACATGGAATGGCTTGAGGAAACCTCTCATACTTTTTCAACCATTTCCCAAGGTACTGAATCAAATTCATCAACTCTTTACGGCCTAACCTACCGAGCGAAGATGAAAATATCACCTCATCGACGTTGTTTGAAGCTAACAAATAATGCAAACAAAGCTCATCATCCGAAAACCCATCATGCGCAACCATAAGCAAAATCGCAGCCTCCTTGGCCAACCGTGATTTCTTTCCGAGTCTGGCCTTTTCAATAGCCAGAAAAGCTTGACTCTCCATTCCTTCCTCACACTAACCATACTAGCATAGCCATCTTTAGGTGGACATAGAAATATTTCAATATGCAAAGCAACTCAACCGAACCCAAATTGCGAGCATGTTTAACACAAATACAAAGCAAATCCGACCTTTTTTTGGCAGCAAGATTAACAATCAAATTCGAATAACACGAATGGTCAATCAAGCCATTAACAATCAACACCTCCAACAATTCCCAAATTTCAAAACTAATACAAGCTTCCAAAACCAAACTCAAAACATCTCTACCAATCAAATACCCAACTTTTTCGAGCAAAACAGAAGTATACCCATAATCATTTGAATCAACCCCAATAAAAACCCCAACTTTCTCCCTAATTTTCTCAAGAAATGGAGTCAATATACCCATAAACTCTTCTCTGTTGAAATTATGGACGTCTTTGAGCTTTCTATTTAACTTGGTATAAAACTTCTTGCTCAATTCAATGAGTTTAGCATCAGTTGAGAGATCCCCCAGCCCATAAGGGGACTAACAAGCGATGTGGGATTGGGGTTTTCAGCTTCATGCTTTAATCTGAGGAAAATCGTCAGCGTTTAGAACTATGGGGTGGTCTGCTAGAGAACTGTGCGGCTCAGTATTAGCTGAAGCCTTCGTTATTGTTTCAAGCAAGCTCATCGTGAGAACAAACGAACAATCCCTAAAAACAAACACTAAAAGAACAAAAGAAAACACGAGAATCAACAACGAGAGCCACCCAACAGGCAATCAAAAGGTCACTTAGAAAGAAGGGAAAAACACTACCTTTAAAGGGATGACCTTGTGAATATAGAGATAGACCCGAGGTTTAGCTTGACGAAGGGGCTCGAATCAATGGAGAAGAGAGACTGAGGGGAATGCAGGGTTTTGAGTGAAACAATTAGGGTTTTGTGAGAGGATAACAATGGAGCCTCAAATGGCGGCTACAGCATTAAGGAAGTTTATAGAAGAGATGAATTGGGCTCGGCCTAATAGGTTTTTCAAGCTTATTGGCCCATATTTTAAGGATATCATGTGGTTTTTGATTTTTTTTTAAAATAATGACAAAAATACATCTCCTTGTAGTTTTGAGAAAAAAAATAATGTGTCCCTCGTATTATTTTTCTCTCTAATTCATAAAACAAACCAAATGTAACCCTTTGACCAACTTTTTTTATCGTTGACCGTTACGGTGCTGACTGGCAGTTTACGAAATTCATGTAATGATGGACTGAAACGTCAGTATCGTAAACTGTCACCTCAACACCGTATATCATCGTGAACCGTCATATCAACATCGTAACGATCAACGACAAAAAATGTGGATTATATAAATTTTATGATGAAGCATTCATCTCCTGCTGTTGTGAAAAATATATGAATTCGTGCTAATGATGACTACGCCTATGTTACTCGGTTTAAGAGTGAAGTACGGATACGCGAATGTGTCCTACACGAATATGCTGATTCTTTTTTATAGTTTTCCCATGTATTTGAAGGATCCATGGAGGGCTATATCTCCGAACCTACGTTGATATGCACATTGCAGACAATACTAATCACTCAATGCCGCTTGATGCATCAAGGTTATTCCCTGGGGTGACCTAGACTCCTTAGCCATGGTACAGCGACATCTGGATGTAGACATACTCGTGACGGGTCACACCCACCAGTTTACCGCATAAAAACACGAAGGCGGGGTTGTTATAAACCCGGGATCTGCTACTGGTGCATATAGCAGCATCAGTTATGATGTCAACCCAAGCTTTGTCCTGATGGATATCGACGGGCTACGCGTTGTGGTCTATGTCTATGAGCTCAACGATGGAGAGGTTCAAGTCGACAAGATCGATTTTAAGAAGACAGCTACCACACTCACTCTGCTCATTGAACATTTTAACAGGTTTGCTATCTGCTGTTGTCGACATGTTTATTCACTCAAAAAGTTTGTCTTGCTGTCTCTACTGTCATGTCCTGTTTAGAAGCCATTTTGGAGACACGATCTCTAAACCTTCTCTCTTATTACAGTCGAAGAAAATGAAACAGAAGTTGAGTCGGACTTTGAAATTGATTCTTTTTTTTGTCGGGGTTCGAGTTAATACTTAGTGGACTTCCAAAATTGTTAACAGCAATGGTACCAGTTGAACTAATATTGAATTGATACCGTTAATTGAATTAATCTGATGCAAAAAAATATTTTTATTCGACACTAATACGCTTGTAAAGTGTATACTAGAACATCGATAAGGCATATCAGTGCATGGTGAGACCAAATTTGTGTACAAGATTCTGCATATTGGCAACAATGGCCAAACTATTACAAACAGACTCTTTAAAGCTTCGAGCTCGAGATTTGACTTCATCACCGGCCGCCCATCAAAGACCCCAAAATATTGTTATATCACAATTAGCAGGTTAAGTTCAACTCAAAATATCGTCACTTTTTTAATCTAAATTATTAATTTAATTTAACTATAAAATATACATAATATTAATATAAAAATATTTTAGTTAAAATGGAATTTCGAGATTTCGTTGTATATCAAAGACCCCAAAATATTGTTAGAAATTCAAGTATATATCAATGTCAACAGATGCATTGCATTGCAACGCACGGCTGGCTATACAAGCGAATCTAGCTTTGCTATATTTTAGACTCTAAAATAGAAACCAAAGATAAAAGTGAAGGCCCCATATGCATGTGAATGACAGATGAATAATAAATTCATGTACAAACCTGCAACAGAAAATCGAAATTTCTCGATGCCTAAGTGGTAATAATTAATCACTATATCTGCTTTGATATGCTTTTTTCACATATAATGTCACAGGCATAAACAGATAAGTTGTAGTTCTTATCTTAATCTATCTTTATAATTACCCGTGTTCTCAATAAACTTATCTCTTGGGTGAGGCTCTCAATTGTGTGCTTTGGGTCATCAAGAAGTAACTCTGGATTTGCAAGATCAATATGGATTGAAGCTCTCGTAGAAGAAAAAACTGGGCTCGGCTTCCTCGATGCAGGGGATGATCCTCGAGAAACTCTTCTTAAACCAGAAGTTGAAGATCTCACAGAATTTCCTAATAAACTGCTGGCGTCACACTGCGACTTAAATAATCTTCTACCATATTTGCAACTCCTGGCCTGTCTGAATGAGTCAAAGGATGCAAGCCTGGATAATTTACGGAGAATTGCGGGGCTCACAAAATCTTTATCTAGTAACTCATTACCATTCTGATGTATGAATTCCCTTGAATTCTTGGTGAGTTCAGGAGTTGATCGAGACTCCATTTTCCTATTTAATTTGGTAAAACAATCATCACAGACCCGAGAAGGCTTGTTCTTCTTAGGAGCCAAAGAAGCTTTTAGAGATTTCTTACTGCTGCAAAGTCTACAAAAGACTAACCCACAGTTGTAACAATTATGGCGCTTTCTGATGAAACTAAATGGAGTTCGACAACCAGAACAGCTAAAGTGATCGGCACCTAGTGCCCAGTCATGAAAACAAATGGCGGCAGTGAAGTTTGAGCCACATACCACTCTCATTACTTTTTGTTTTTCAAAGCTTCAACGACTGTGGGACTGTTTCTGTCTTCCTTGTCTCCATGACCTAATTGACCATTTCACCCTTTCCCAGGTGTAAATATTAGCATTTGAACAACGAACAGCGATATGATAAGAACCAATGCTATCTCTTCAATTCGGCTGTTTTTGATATTGCCCTTGACACAAGTTGGAAGCTTGCTACTTCCAGAGCTTCCATGACCATCACTCCCCATGGAATAGACTTTCCCCGTGTCAGTTAGAGCAACAGTGATACTGTGGCCACAAGCCACTTGAGAAAAGCTTGTAGTGTCCGACAGTGCTACTAAAGAAGGAACTAATCTGGGTTCTTTATCACCATGTCCAAGCTGCCCTTTCTCCCCATCACCCAGGTGAACAGCTTTCCAGATGAAAACTCAGCAGATAGCTCAGAAAGCACTTCTGCAACTGCAGCAGTGTGCCAAACTCCACAAGATGCCCTCAGCGTTCGTAGTCCTCTAAGAGCCTCAACTTCTCTGGGTAAACTTGTGTTCTTCCGGTCCCCATGGCCTAGAGCACCAAAAGTTCCATCACCAAATGTAAATAATTTACCTGTTGATTTAACAACAGCTGTATGCCAAGCGCCACAAGAGATATGTGACACTTGCATACCTTGCATGTCACCTCTTACCTTTCTAGGAATCCACTTACTAACTTCAGTACCGTGCCCTAGAAGACCAAGGTTGTAAGAACCATCACCCCAGGTATAAAGGTCCCCTGAATGTGTTACAGCACAAGTATGAAACTCCCCACAAGCAACTAATCCAATAGATGACCCACTAAGAGCACCTATGAGCCTCGGTTGATAAACATCAGCTTCAACTCCATGCCCAAGCCTACCACCAGTTCCTTCACCCCAACTAAATATCTGCCCCTGTTTTGTGACTAAAACAACATGCTTATTCCCACAAGAAATATTGCGAGCATCTAGAAGCACTGTTGATTGAGAGCCTTGGGTGAAAGTGCATCTATTCTGGTAACAGTAGTTTGAGTTTTGTGACTACCATCGAGCAGTCCATTACCAGCTCCTTCTCCCCAGATAAAAACACCACCGATTGCGTTAAAATCTTCTAAAGAAGATTTATTGCTGGACAAACTACTTCTAAATGAATCAACAGAAGAGTTTTCTAACCCGCCTAATGATAATGAATTTGCATGCCTGGCAACTGGCTCTGTCTGAGTTAAGCAATTTATTATAGAAGTGTATGTAAAACCTCGGAAAAAGCTTTTCCCAGTCTTCTCTGTGGAGAGCTCTCGTGTGAGAGTGAAACCTTTTGGGTATCTCTGGTATCCTACAATGAGCAAACAGGAAAGATTTAATAAAGAAAAAAATAGAAAATGATTGGATTTTCTGGCACTCCATAGTAAGAAACCTTATAGATGTTGTCACTGCTTGTACGTGACACAATAGATACTTGTGAATTTCTTTGTGTACAGC